CAACTCCTGGGCTCAAGCGAGTCTCCTGCCTCCGCCTCCCAAGTAGCTGGGACCACAGGTGCCCACCACAACGCCCGGCTATTTTTTGGTTGCAGTCATCATTGTTGTTTGGCGGGCCTGGGCTGGATTCGAACCCGCCACCTTAGGAGTATGTGGCTGGAGCCTTAGCCACTTGAGCCACAGGCGCCGAGCCTGCTTTTCTTAAGATATAGCTCTTTAGTTTGGGGAGGAAATTTAAATCCCAAAGCAGATAATCTTATTTTAGTTGTAGAAAATAATTTTAAAATGTGCTGGCATAAGTTGGTAAAAATATCGGTATTTATCCAGTTGATTTAAAAAGTGAATATCTTCCTAGTAACTACCTAATTATCTCTCTTGATCAATTGAGGTTATGAAGAGAAATTATCAGTGTTCATGTGATGTGGCAACAAAATTATTATTTAATGCATTTTAACGAAGCCAATTGCATCTCTAAAATTCATAAAAAGTAATAGACTTCTTTAAAATGCATGGTTTGTAAGGAGTCCAAAAAAGAAACTTCAGACTGTGCTAAATTAAAGAGGATGCACTTGAAAGTCTTACTGACTATTTGGAGGTTATTATGATGCTGACCTGGCAGAAGTGAAGAAGAACGTCATCCTGCTGTTAACCCTGCATGAGGAAGCTGTGAGCCCCATGCTCTGCCCAAACACAGGCCGGCAGTCCTGGGGAAGGCTGGTCTTCTTAACCTCAACTGACCAAGACAGATAATTAAGAAGTTACTGGAAAGATAGTCACCTTTTAACTCCACTGGATAAATATCAATATTTTTATCAACCAATACTAACGCATTTTAAAATTATTTTCTATAACTAAGATTGGAGTGAGTCTAGAACAGCAATTTCTCCTTTCCTGACACTGCAGTGATTCAGACGTCTGTCTTGTGAGTAAATCGACCTTGCTCTTTACCTGAGGACATCAGGCATTTCTGGATCTGGTATGGGCCTTCAAGCCCAGGCCAGCTGTTTGCCTCCAGGCTGCCGTCCTTCTGGCTTCCACCCAAACACTCCCTTCCAGGGTCTTCCTGGACTACCCCACCTGTCTCTCACCTGGTTGCCCAAGGTGCCACCACCTGTTTTACTTATTTCCTAGTTTATTTTCTCTTTGCCCACTAATACTATTTTTTTAAATTTGTCATTTCTACTTCATTTTATTATTTATTATGTAAAATAAAGTATTTCCTGATTTTTATTTACAGTTGACATCCTTAGGACTGAGAATGGAGCTAGGCATTAATACATACAACACTCTTACCACACACTGGTTTAAGGAAAAAATATTTGCTTCTCTATATAGATCAGTTTTCCAAATTGCTTTGTGTTGTGAGGGTATCTGTGTATTTAAAGAGGTAATAGCTCAGGCTGGGCATGGTGGCTCATACCTATAATCCTAGCATTCTGGGAGGCCAAGGTGGGTAGATTACTTGAGCTCAGGAGTTTGAGACCAGCGTGAGCTAACGCAAGACCTGGTCTCTAAAAATAGCTGGTGTTGTGGTGGGCACCTGTTGTCCCAGCTACTCCAGAGGTTGAGGCAGGAGGATGACTTGAGCCCAGGAGTTTGAGGTTGCTGTGAGCTATGACACCATAGCACTCTATCCTGGGGCAACAAAGTGAAACTCCTCTCAAAAGAAAAAAGGTAGTAGCTTCCTCCAAGGCATTCTTCTTCCTGGAAACAGAAATGTAGTTCTCCTTCTGAAGGAAAACTGTGTCATCAGATTTCTGAACTAGTTTTGCCACTATATAGAGAAATGACATTGGGATACAAGTTTATTCTAATGTTAAAATTCTATTCTGTGATTGTCATAGAATCATAGACTTTTAAGAGGTGTTATTTCTGGATCACGTAGTCCCACCAGGGCATTCTGTAGTTGACCGCCTCAGAGGCTGTGCCTCCGGTCACCTGACCCCCAGCAGGGTGGTAGCTCCTCTTTTTTTTAAATTGCAAATTAAGCTTAATGGAGTTGTACTTGTAATTGAGCCATGGATCTAAAGAGTAAAAGTGGGCAAAGTTAAGAATGTCTGAATGGAGGTATCATCTTCCCCGAACTGTCACTTTTAAGCTTTGCACAGGGGCAGTATCGTAGCCAATGAGGTTTCTTCGAGGTGCAATTGACTATCGGTGATTGAGCCTTTCCTTACTGCCCTGTGACGACTTGCAATATAGTCAGCAATGGCAATTTTGGACAGTCTCTCCAGAGACTGAATAAAACAAAAACAAAACCAAAACCGTCACTTTTAGCCTTAATCCAGAAAGGAAACTCAGCTCCTGACCCGCTGGGCCCTGTGTTGCCAGCTGGTGTCTTCAGTTTCTGTTCACCCATTTACAGTAAACAGGCTTGGGGAGCAGCTCTCGCCAAAAACCTTTGGACAGTCTGGTGCCAACACTGGACAACAAATGGTGAGTCACCTTTGGAGACAGAATCTGTCGGGATCCTCAGACAGGGATCTGGAACCGACAAGTGTGTCGGTCTTGTGGCCAGTGGTGTTCCCAGGAGCACTTGGATCTGAGCTCGGGTCGGAGTGTGGGGTTGTCCCTTCTGTGCAGGGAGCTTGCTTGTGCCCGACGGCGCTGGGTTTTCTATCTTCCACAGTGTCTGGCGTTGTCGTTGGAGGGGTGATGGTGCCCGTGTGTGCATGCAGGTTTGTTTTTCAGGGTGCTTCATGTACCCACCCAGTGCCATCCTTCCAGTAACTGGGCAGTCAGCAGGGTGGGTGTTTGAAGGTTCTGGGGTGCATAATGAGATGCCCACATTGGCGGGCGACTGCCAGGGCACTGACCCGGCTGTGGCTGCATGGGTGCTGGAGTCACCAAGCCCAGATCCAGCCTCCTGCTCCCTGGCCACTTGCTTTGTGTCCTTTGCAGCAGCCCCTGGTCCTGAGCTCTCTAATTAGGACTTTTTACCACCTCAGACGAGCTCTGGAGTGACAAGACCCTGCATCTGCCCTGATCTGGTGGTCCTGGTGGCCCCTGGTGGAAGGGAAGGGCTGTGGCCAGTGGAATCCTGGGCCTGTAGGCCTGGCACTTCTGTCCTGGTCTCACTCTCAGACACACGGGTCTCAGAAACCAGTGTCTCTCGGCTGCAGTTATTAAATACTCTTTCTTACCAATTTTATTTTCTGTCTTTCTACCCGTTTTTTTTTTTTTTTTTCCTCTCTGGTTGGTGGCTTCTAGATGTGAGCCCATCAGAGACAAGGAGCAGCCAGGTGTGGCGGTTCATACCCAAGATCCCAGCCACTGGGGAGGCTGAGGAGGGAGGATGACTTGAGGCCAGGAGTTGAAGACCAGCCTGCCAACAAAGTGAGACACAATCCCCCCTTACCAAAAAGAAGGGGGACCGGAGAGAAGCAGAATGCTGGGTCCTCCTTTCCTCAGAATCAATGGGGGCAGGTTTTTCCTACACCTGGAGTAGTTAGGGATGGCAGTGCACAGCCTCACTGAAGGCTTCCGGGCTTCCAGCTCTTCCTCCCGCAACTGCCTTCACAGTGACTGAGGGCTCCTTCTTGATCTTGAGAGGCTCTGGCCCTTCCTGGTAAGCCTGGGCTGCAGCCTTCACTCCAGGGCCTCCTGCCAAGTCTGGGGCTATGGCGGTAAGAGGGGCATTTAGTTAGGGGCCTCTAGAGTCAAAGGATTTTGTAGAGTATGGGCAGGGACACAGAGCTGCAGATTAGGGGGCGGCGAGGTATGAGAGCTCAGAGGACCTGCATTAAGTTAAAGAGCTCAGCCTAGAAAATGGGCCATCTGCCCCACCCTGATAAGTCCTCCAAACTTTAGTTTATTTTTTTAGTGTCACCAAACTTTAAAGTCACTCTTTTCACCAGCCTAGGTAATCATAAAACTTTAGAATTTATTCATTTCTTTTGAGTAGGATGATGAATATCTCTACCTTTCATTTGGACTTTCTTAAGCGAAACAGAAAAATAAACTATAAGTTATCTTGCTCTGAATTGTTTATTTTTGAGAATTTCACTTGGGTATTTAATAGTATTAGAGTCCTTTGAAGTATTTAGGTTGGGGCCAGGGTAATGTAAAGTTCCGGAAAGAAATAAAGGGAGTGTAAATATCAGAATAAAAGAAAACATTATGTTCATTTTTTAAAGAAGTCACTAATCTAATAATAATAGAAGCACCATCTGCTGTAAGTTAAATCACCTCTCTAGACCATGCACCCAGCTACCAATGATAAAGGATGCCAGGGGAAGAAAAGATTTAGACCAAGAAATCTTAAGCCTTTCCTGCTAGAGGGAGAATGGAAAGCCAACACACTTTATGATTACATTTGGTCTGGTTAGCTGGTAATCTCTCCATTTTGTGCCAAGGGAGAAGTGTGATCTCTTTGCTTTATAAGTTCAGCAGGACCCTAAAATCTTCTGTGGCAATTAAGCAACCCCACACCAGAAAGGAAAAGAGCAGCTGGTTTTAAATTCATGCTATAACTGAAGGCCAGTCAAGGGTACTACTAGACCAAGGAAGTATTATCCTTCCCCAGTTAACAGTCAGTTTAGGAAAACAGTTGGGACCTGCTTTATTTAGCCCAATGACACAAATAGTTTGAAGATAGAGTTGAGGTTGGCTGAAAAATGTGGGGCCAGAGCAGAGAAGGCCTTGAATGCAATCACAAAGGACTAGATCAGACCTTCTCCCACAGGGAGGAAGGCAGAATCACACCATTACACAAAAGCTTCCAACTGGGATGGGCCTTGGCATTTCCCCCAGATGCTGGTAGATGTCAGTAGGTGTCAGAGATTGTCGACGTTCGGGATGGACCAGGTTGACACAAAGAGGCTACTGTAGGGCTTCAGTTATGAAGTGATGAGAAGGCAGGCCTACGTGGATGGCTTGCAAATGAAGAGAAGAGGCCGTATTTGAAAAATAGGAGGCAGCTCAGAGAAAGGTTGGATATCATAAGTAGAGGAGAAGGGGGCTTGCGGAAGTTAATGACAATGTTAAATCAAGCAAAAGCATTTTTATCAAGGGAAACATCACTGCTTAGTGTATCATGTGCCTTGTCTATACTAGGTGGCCATAAAGTTCGTGTGCAATTTTAAAAGAGTGTGCAATTGAAAATTGCACATGAACTTTATGGCCACCCTTTATTTACCTACCTCAATTAGACTGCCCCAGAGGATAGGGCCTACCGCTCTTCTGTTTTGTTTGTATCTGGAGCATCCAGCCACGCTGGGCCAGTGAACAATAGGGGCTCGATTACTGGTTGACTAATTCCCCTGAGCTTGGGCAGAGAATACTGTCCCTTCTATTTAATGGACATTGACTTTATGTCCACTGTGTGATGAATGCTCTGCAGAAATTAGGGGAAAATCTATGCCAAGGAAACAGCTTACGGGTTGCTGCAATTGTGAGGGCAGGGAGTTGCCGTGTCTTAGACAAAGAAGACACTACAAAACGAGACGAAATAAGGCCCGTGCTTGGCTGTCCCAGGACAGAAACTGAAATCCCTGAAGATAAGTGATTTAGTGTGAGTTCGTGAAGTTGGTTGGACTAAAACAAGTCTTGGTTAAAGGTGGGAGTGGAGAAAGGTGTCTCAGGAAGACAGAAACAGACAATGCAACGAAAAGGATGCGTTTGCTCCAGCTGAGAGGTTCACACCAGCACGGGGAAGCAAAAAGCTTTCCAGACACAGCCATGTCCTTGATGGGTATGTTACAGCCAAGCATTGCAGACCCTTCATTAGCTTTCAATCATGATGCTTTTATTATGCATGCTCCCATTATTAAAGTTATTCTGGGCTGGGAGAATGAACTACAGCTAGGATAAGACACTTGCAAAAGTAAGACAGTCACCTTACCAGGAACTCAGAAGTTTCTAAGCCAATCTGCAGTCAAGTGATAAGGGTTCATGGCTAATGTGGCCTTGGAACCATCCTCTTGGAGGACTCTCTGCCATGCAGAGTGGGATAAAAAGTGGCAGGTCAAAACAACAATGACAGCTACAACCAAAAAATAGCCAGGCATTGTGGTGGGTGCTTGTGGTCTCAGCTACTTGGGAGGCCCAGGCAAGAGAATTGCATAAGCCCAGGAGCTAGAGGTTGCTATGAGCTGTGATGCCACAGCACTGAACCTAGAGTGACGGCTTGAGGCTCTGTCTCCAAAAAAAAAAAAAAATGTATATATATATAAGTGGCAGGCCAAAGGACATGCATACAAATCCATGTTTTCTATACTCGAATAATAAGCAACACAGGCCAGGAAGAGGACTCTACCCTCAGCCGTCATTGCCCAGACCCAGACCTAGTTTGTGCCTGTAAAAAAAAGAGGTTTTATTTGTCCCAGTTTCAGGGATAGAAGTAAGAAGTATGTGTTGCTATTTTCATTAGGTCTATAAAATTGATGATAACCCTCCAGTATTAAAGAAAACACCTAGTTACTGTGTATGAGAAACTTATACAAATCAGCTGATGCTTCTCTAATCTTTATTTGATCTAAAATAAGGTTAAAACGACATTAGATCTAGAGTTTAAATATAAGATAGATAAGATAAATAGAGATATAAGAGCTTTTATCTTCTGTTCTCAAGTTGTAAAAATTTGCAAAGGCCCCAATTCTTTACATTTCACTTTTATGAATATTTGTTGAGAAATAATCTTAGAGAAAATTCTGGGAAAAAAGTCATTATCCTAACCTAATGATTATGTCAATACATTTCTATTTTTATAAGACTATGAATGCATAAATGTAGCAAAGCAATTGTAATCAATAAGATCAATAAAGAAATCATTTTCTAAAGTACAATTGTTTCATAGCCTATAGTTTAAACTTAGATAAGTCAACATATACTTAGATTACCTTATGTTTTTTTAAAAGATATGGCAATCTAAATAATCACCCTCCTCCAGGTCTCCTCACTCTACTTCTCTGGCATCTTACCTCAACTATACCACGCCTGAGAAATGAACAGCTCAGAGAGCTCCCATTCAATTAAAAGGCCCTGTCCTTGACCTGACACCCACACTTCCTATTGCCTGAATGCTCTCTGTCCTTCTCATGCACAACTCACTAAAGAACTCCTGATCTCCACTTTCTTACTCCCCATCCCCTCCTAAGTGCAGAGCCATCTGGCTTCTGCCCTTCCATGTTACCAATTTTCTGAGATCGGCGATACTCAACCTGTGGGTCGCGACCCACAGGAACTATATTAAAGGGCTGTGGCATTAGGAAGGTTGAGAACCACTGTTTGAGATAAG